GATGATGATGGATATGATGATGGTGGTGATGACGATGATGGTGATGATAATGATGCTGATGATGATGATGATGATTCTGATGACGAGGGGGAGGTGGAGAAGGCGGGGGAGGAGGAACAGGAGGAGGAGGAGGAGGAGGAGAAGGAGGAGGAGGGCAGCGAGGACGACGACGACGACGTCGTCCACTTGAGACAACGGTAGCGGGCCGTCGGGCCTTCGCCCCCCCCCCCCCTCGTTGCCACGATTGGACGCAGCTCGGAAAATTGGCGCGGCCACCTTGCCGACGACCGATCGGTGATGATGATGAGGAGGAGTGGGTAAGGACGAGGAGGGGGGCGAAGAGGAGGAGGAGGATGAGGGCGGGGATGAGAGCGATAGGAGGAGCAGGAAGAGGAAGGGAACGAGGAATTATCCTTGACGTTTCGCGCACCCCCACCAACGCATCTAAAAACGATGCCCATGAGAGTTGACAACGGGAGAGGGGAGGAGACGCGCCTAGTCAAACAGCGGAGGAGGCGAGGCTCCATGGCCATCTCGAGCCGACTTGGAACGGTTTCGGGGCCGCCGGGACATCGCGGGAGCCATCTTGCCGGGGATATTATGAACCGGGTCAATCCAGACCCGGGTCAGCAGGAAAACAAAAACTGCAATGCAGGGACAAAAATTGCAACGTAGGTCTTTTCAAACCCGGGTCAGCCAATATGCGCGGCCGCCTCGCGGCCACGAGCGGCTCGCGAACCCGGGTCAGCCGGAGGGGGTCTTCGCAGGATACTGCAAGATCTGGCGCCCTGACTGACCCCCGTCTGCATTGACCCCCGTCTCAAGGCTCCCGATCTTGGGCCAAATTGGGTTTTCTGGGCCATCTTAGGCGTTGCCTTGGGCGCCTCGCGGGTGGTTCTCGGGTGCCTCTTGGGGCCCTCTTGGGACCTCTTGAGGCGCTCTGTGGGCGCTTTTGGGAGTACCGTGGGAGCCCTGGATGGCCTCGCATCTTGGAGACGGTCGGGCAAAAAAAGGGGGGTACTCGACGCGCGTCCCCCGTGAAGGAAGGCAAAACATGGCACTGCCTCAGGCCGAACAGGGAGCCTCCGACACCTCAGGATCCCTCACAAAAAAAAACTAGGGAGGGCGAGGGCCACATTCCCCAGAGGGAAGAGGGGTTGTGGAGGAGGAAAGAGACCCTCGATAGACTACCTGTCGCCCAAAGGGCTGGTGGGATTACGGGCACGGGGATGACGATGAGGGGGGTGCAGGAAAAACGGGATGACGATGCCGAATATGGCAGTGATGACAGTTACGATGTGTCGCTGTGTTCCTTGCATACGTTTGCATGCCACTACTCACTTTGAACCGGATCCGGAATACCCACCCCAGCGATGCTTGTCCATCATCTTGCCACGGAATGTATGCAACTGTGTGCCTGCGATTGATCGGGCAGCAATGGTTTTGCACAGCTTAACAACATCTTCGCCAATGAAGGTCGCAACGCGTCTGGGGTTCACATATATTGGCCTATAAGCGACATGCCACATGCTATGCAACGCTGGCACAGCTGAGCTCTTCTGCTCGCTCCAAAAAGGCTTCAGAGCGGGACCGCCCACCTCTGCCAGCCACCTCTGTGAAAAGGCAGAAACATCACATGGGGAAGAAAAAGCTGCATATCCACACTTCGAACTGTTTTCTGCGATGCCCTGGGTTTCTCTAGTAGTGAATTAAATCGGGCGCGCGCGATCTGGAGGAGAGCGGAATGGCCCAGCCAAGCGATCGATCCTTCGTCGATATGCCCATCATGCACCCCCCCCGACCCCCTCGCATTGCCAAGCCGCCCAACGACGCGGGGATGTGATTCAACGGCATCTGTAACCTGTCGATCAGCGCAGCTAGGTCATCGTACAATTTGCGGGCGGGTCGCTGCACCTGAACAGCTGAACTCTCGCCCTATGCCCATCGCCAAACTAAATTAATTCAAGCGCCAAACCAGAATCAAATATATAATTGCCGACCTCGCTGTGGCTGGGGAGAGAAAGCGCCTGCTGGGCTCGCTGCAGGCGGCCCCCCCTCCTCGCGCCGCCGCATGGAGGCGGGCGACCCCCCATTCCGAGCCGACGCTGACTACGGGGGGGCGGGGCGGGGGCGGGGGGGGGGGGCGCGGGCAAGGAGGCCCGCATCATGCGCGGAATTGGGGGGGGCGCTTCTTGAGCCTCTTGAACTGCGGCGATCTTGTTTGAGTTGAACGGTGGGTGACATCACGCGAGAAAATGTCGGCAGTACTTCTTGGAGTCGAAGAGCTGAGTTGTCGCGGCAGCGCGCTGCGAACGCCTGCGGGCAGCTGCCAGCGCGCGCGAATGTTGGGTGGCCGGGCGGCCCTGGCGCGGGTGGACGCATGTCTGCGCGCATGGCGTCTTTGAGCTTGAATGTCTTGGTTGGAGTCGCAGGTGGTAGACAGAAGGGCGACAGCGGCGTTGCTCTTGAGTCGGGCCGGAGCGGTGCGCGCTGTAGATGCCGATATCCATCCTGGTGCGCGGACATCTCGTTGTTGCACTTGTCGGGGTACCTGCGCCATGCAGGCAGGAGTGCGCCGTCGTCTGGGAACCTGTGCGCGTGCGTGTTGGATTGCTCGCGGTAATTGAATGCGCAATGCCGCGCGTCGTCCTGGTGGCCGTTGGCGTCCGTGTCGCTGGCGTAGTCGCGTAATGATGTCCGTCCACTAGGGCAGAGCATGTCGTGGTATCGGTTAATTCGGATTGCAAACGCGGTAGAACCCGCGTGTCTGTGATGCTTCGTTCATCTCTGCCCATGGGTCGTTTTTGCCCACGCTTTCGTCGGAGTCTGGGGCGTCGTAGATGAGGTCGGGCGCGCCCCTCCATGGGTTGGTATTTACTCTGCCTTTGGGCTGCGCGCAGGTGGCGGCAGCGCGTTCGTCCTTTTGTTCTTGAATGCGTGAATTTCGCGCTGTTTCCAAGCCGTCTTCACGGCCCATTTCAACGCCGCATCTCGCGGCGAGATCGCGCGGTGCAAAGCCGTGGCGCGCGTCGTCTGGAGGGAAGTCGGTCGGGCACTTGAAGCCTCAGATTGTAGAGATGACTTCGGGTCGCTTGGGCGCGCATAGCGGCCCGTGCGGGCGCGGCGGGGCCACGGGCGGCCGCGTTTGAAAGCGCGCTGGACTGCCCTCGGAGCGCGCGGCGCAACTATCGGGGTGCAGGGCCGCGATGGGCGGCGGCGCGAGGTGGCGCCGAGCTCGCGGTCATCTTGCGCCATCGATTGCGGGCGCGTGGAACGCGCAATGCGCTGGCGGAATCGGCCCTTGATGGCGGCCTGGCTTGACTCGTGCTGCTCCCGACCATTCGTTGCGCAGGTCGCATTCGTATTGGGGTGGCTCTTCCAGCTCGGTGTAGTCGGGCTGATGGGGGCTGACTGGTGGTGCGAGATGCCTTCTGCGCGCGTCGGCAACGCATGTTGCCGCGGTGGGCGTCGGGCCAATGCCCCTGAGGTGCGCAGTGAGTCTGCCAGGTAATTGGCAAGCGAGAAGAGCTCCAAACCCATGGTGGCATTGCGGTTGACGTCGGTCATGGTGCTGAAAAGTGCGCGTTCCTCATAGTCGGGGCCCTCGTGGTTGATCCTTGAGCGGGTGGTGGAGTCTCCGTCCATCTGGAACTGGTATAGTGTTGCGCTTTAGTGGTAGTAGATCTTGTGCAGGGTACCCTTGAGGCTCTTCCCCGTGCCGTTCTCGTTGTAGCATGTGCATGTGAGCCGTACTCTTCTGTGGTCGATGTCGTCGTTGGGTTTTTGCCCCGCCATGAAAATGAGTGGGGCTCTTATTGTATGTCATGGGGGGGCCCGCCTGGCCATTGAAAGGATCGTTGTCTGGTCGGTAGTCGATTTTTCAATGACATGGAATCTGCGCGGGCCGTTGTGACCAGCGTGGCTCCACGTTGGCGTGGACGCCGTAATATTTCTATCCGCTGGCAGCACTGCGTAGCTAGCCTTTCTTGAAGTAGGGGGAAGCGTTCCCTGCATATGTCAAGTAGGTGGGCCATCGTGATGTGCGTATCCCCCCTTTGGACTACACCCAGCCATTCTTGGTTGGCGCCGGTATGTATTCGTTGCCCAAATGAAGGGACAGGTACACGTAGTACTATCGACTCAGTCGTCGGTGTTCGAGTTTGGATTGTCAACTTCGACCTGTGACCGTAATGTTTGGTTCGTGGGCGTGGTTGTACGACGCGGGCCCTGTCTTTGTGAGTTGCTGCGAATATTGGGTAATGGTGGTAAGGTGTCGGTGGTTCCGTCGACGTACTACTCGGATATTTGTCTGCACTGTGACTCGGTATGAATATGAATTCCCTTCGTGAGGAGGTCGTCCGGATTGAGCGAATATGTCATGTGCCAGATGTGCGCCTATCGATGGGAGGTCGGCAGTACATCGTAGCTGTAGCCTGTTGAAGAGTCCTTTGTTGAGAAGATGCATGGGACGGTGGCTGGTAGCATGGCGCCGGGTAGGCAAGTGAAAGCAAGCATGGCGGATAACGGAGTTTGAACCTGGTGGTTACGTATAGGGGTCTGGTGGAGATGTTGCAACAATGTCGCACCTGAAATTGTTTCCGCGGCATCCATGGATGTAGCTATACACGTTGTGTCATTGTTGGTGACCACGTAACACTGCAGGATGATTGCGCCTGACTGCCACTATCATATGCCTCTCCCCCAGGTATGCCCCGTAGGGCTCTCATGCAGGGTACGAGGGTGCATGCTCTCGGAAAGCCCGCACCATAGTCGTAGCAGCGCTGTGTGAGACAATGTTGCGTGGAACCATGTGCGTAGGGCTGTGCTGCCATTTTCATATTATTCCTCCTCCTCCTCCTCCTCCTCCCCTCCTCCTCCTCCCCTCCTCCTCCGCCTCTTACTCCTCCTCCTCCTCCTCCTCCTCCTCCTCCTCCTCCTCCTCCTCCTCCTCCTCCTCCTCCTCCTCCTCCTCGCCCCACCCCCCCATTGCGCGGCGCTGCCCTGCTCGAGCTTCGCTGTCCGGGAGCTCCTCTGCGCAAACAGGGCCGCGCGGACAGAGCGGATTGAGTTCGGACGGTGTGGCGCTGCAGGGCTGGGGAGGGGGGGCCGGGCGGGAGGCGGTGCGGGCAAGGAGGAGAATGATAACGAAAATGGATGCCAGTCCGCGGGTCAACGATCCGCGGGGCCGAAGAAACGACAAGCGGGCTGGCTCGCCACCCACGGCACGTCAATTCTACCCTCCAGCCCGCCTGGGCCGGAGGGTGGAACCCAGCTTTCCAGGCCGAGTCCAACCGTGGCGAACCTGCGGCACCCCGCCGAAAGCAAGACCAGACAGAAACACTGGAGGCCCGCCCAGAGGCCCCGCGACGCCTCCTCGCGGCGGCGAGCGCCCTCCGTGTCCGCCTGTGCCCTCCAGCGTTCCTGGGCGGTCGCCGCCGGCGGGTCCAGGAACCCATGGAGCACGGCGACCGTCGCCTGGTCAACGGGCTCCCAGGTCAAGCCACAGCTGGCGGCAGCGCCGCCCACGACCAGCGCGCGCGTTGCCGCGCTCGGGCCCTGGGCCGCGTCCCCTGCCATCGTTCGGACGTCCATTCCCCGTGCATGTTCCAGTTTCGTGCGTGTTGCTTTTTTTTTTCGCAAGATGAGCCGGCATGCTCCTTGATGGTCCCCGCCGGGACAAAATGCGCACGTCCGAACGATGCCAAGGTCCAGCCGCGCGATCTTCTGGCGGGAAGGAAAGGGGGGAGAAGGGGGAGGGCACGCTAGGTGCGCTCGCGTCATATATGACGCCCTACCACTCCCTCCCATCCCTCGCCATGGCATAGATCCCTCTCTATTCGCACAGTCGGATGTCGAGCAATGCAAGGATCGCGAAAGAGCGCGCGATGCATCGTAGAGCACGGCATGGCAAGGCGTAGAAGAGCAGGGCAGAGCGTATAATGTCATAGCATGGCGTGGCATTGCGTAGTGAAGCGTAGCATCACAAAGCATCGCAACGCAAAGCATGTCATCGCACAGCGGAGCAGAACAAAACAACGCACAGCATGCCATGGCTGGATCGTGTTCGAAGGGTCTGGGCCGGTCTGGAATCGCGGCTCCATGTTTAGCTCCCTGGGCTCCCCGGAAAGATCCCTACAAGGCGGGGCCGATGGAGAGCACCCGCTGGCTCTGCTTGCAGCATCGCCTTCTGGAAGCAGAAACGGGGCTCCCGCTTGATACTTCCTCCAAAAAACGCTTCCCCGAAGTGAGGGGGCGCTTCTGCGGCCCAAGAACTCAACGAATCGGCACCACATGCGGAATCCCTTGCGATTTGTTGTTCAGGGCGTCATGTTCTAAATTTGGGGCCCACTTGAAGGACCGAGAAAGGCCCGCGCTGCAGCGGCAGCATGTTTTGGAACAGCCAGAGGCGCAGAAATGGGGCAGCGGGAGCAACATTTTGAAGGACCGCAAACATCGGACTTTCAATAACACAGATGAAAACAAATGAAGCCATCGCTGCAGCGGGAGCACGATTCGGAACGAGCGGAAGCGTGCAAATGAGGCCAACGCCGCAGCGGGAACACGATCCAGAACGAGCGGAAGCCCGAAAATGAGGCCAGCGCTTCAGCGGGAACAACGTTTCAAAAACAAACCACAGCGAAAACCCAACTCCAGGGAAGTCTGTGAGAAAAATAATGCGTTGATGGGGGTCCAGACATCTCCAAGACGTCATCATGGGAGAGAGGAGACTAGTATTCATGTTGTGTAATTGTGACAGGGGGAAGGGGAGTGGAGGGAGAGGGGGGGGGCGCGAAAGGGGGTGCGAAGAGGGGGGGGGAGGGAGCGCGAGAGGGGGGAGGGGGGAGAGGGCGCGAAAGGGGGGAGAGGGCAGGGGGGGAGGCAAGCTAGGTGCGCTCGCGTCATATCAGACATCCTACCCCTCCCTCCCATCCCTTACCATGGCGTAGATCCCCTCTCTACTCGCACCGTCGGGTGTCGAGCAGAGCAATGATCCCGAAAGGGTACGCGATGCATTGTAGAGCACGGCGTGGCATGGCGTAGAAGAGCACCGCAAAGCGTAGTATCAACCTAGCATTGCATTGCATGCCGTGGCATGACACAAGAAATGACGCCAGCGCTGCAGCGGAAGCACGAGTCGGAACGAGCGGAAGCGCGGAAATGAGGCCAGCGGCTGCAGCGGGAGCACGATTCGGAACGAGCGGAAGCACGGAAATGAGGCCAGCGGCTGCAGCGGGAGCACGATTCGGAACGAGCGGGGCCCGAAAATGAGGCCGGCGCCTCAGCGAGAGCAGCATTTTGGAAACACTTGCAGGCGGAGACCCAACTCCAGGGAATCCTGTGTAAACAACGATACGCGGGGGGGGCTAATACTTTCAAACCGTCATCAGGGGAAGAGGGAGAGTAGTATTCATATTGAGTAATTGTGGAGGAAGGGGCAGACCAAGTGCACTCGCGCGACATCCGCCACCCTACCCCGCCCACCCATCCCTTCCCATTGCGTTTCTGGGGCGCTGGCGCCATATCCGCCGACGGGTGTCATGGCGGGCTGGGCACCCTCGTGTTATGCGCCGTGAGATACATGAACCTGTGCAAATTGGATGAGAAGGGCAGGCGGCGGAGAAGCAAGAGGATGCGCAGGAGATAGAGGATGTGGATGAAGGAACAGAATTAGGAGGAAGAGGAGCAGGAGGAAGAGGATGAGGACGAGTAGGAAAAGAAGCGGCAGGAGCAGAAGTAGGAGGACTGGGAAGATGGGAGAACTAGCAGAACGCGGAGGAGAGGAATTAAGCAGGTCGACAACGACGATGAAGAGCTCGCAGCCGCAATCGTGGCCCACGCTGGGGCATGAAAGCCAGTAAACGACGGGAACAAAGCGTCGATCCTAAAACAACGCCATCGGTGCGGCGGGAGCAACAGAAGCATTCCGATTGAAGACGGCCAGATGAAATACCACCCTGTTCCCCAAACACACTGCTTCAGCTTAGGGTCTCTTACCTCCATTCTCGGGAACTGGGCCCAGGTGCGGCCCCAGCGGCCCCGTTCACGTCCGTCGTCGCCCCAATGCTTGTGCACTTGTGCATAAACGGGCTCGTGTGCGGCCCCGTTCCCGTCCGTCGCCGCCGCCCCGTTGCACCTCTCCACCGTTGAGTTGCAATCGCGTTGCATGGGCATCGTGCTCCCCCCAACTGCACTGCTGTCGCGTTGCATTGAAATAGTTCTTTGAACGTCTTGCATCGCATTACATTGCTTTGCTGTGCATTGCTTTGCATTGCATTGCGTTGCGTTGCGTTGCATTGCGTTGTGTCGCATTGTTTTGCGTTGCCCTGCTGTTCATTGCATTGCATGGCTGTGCACGGCATTGCGTTGCATTGCTGTTCATTGTTTTGCAGTGCGTTGTTTCTGTTTGCGTTGCTGAGCTTGGATCTCCATGGTTTGCATTCCTTTGCAGTACATTGAATTGATGTGCCTTGCTTCGCCTTGTATTGTACTGCGTGAAATTGCGTTGACTTGCGTCAGCTCTGCATTGCACCACCTAGATTGCACCACATGGATTGCACCACCTAGATTGCGCTGAATAGATTGCAACAACATCGCTGTGTGGGGCCCAAACTGGCTAACATGGAATCCAACCAACAAAATTCGGAATGCCCCGCTCGAACAGGATCCTGGGAGAGAGGAGAGCACGGCAGTGGTCAGATTGAGTAATTGTAGAGGGGGCGCAGTCGAGTTTGATTCGAGGGCAAGGCGTGGATTCAAGACGCTTCCGAGGGCCACGTTGCCCCAGGAACGCAGATGAGATGGGACACGGAACGCAGGACACAACGGCACCCTTGACTTGGAAGGGCCGACCTGTGAATCAGACTCGACTGTAGCGGAGGACGGCAAGGAGGAGGGAGGGACGAAAGGGATGGGAGCATGAAGGATCGAGAGCGGGGCGCGGCAAGCCCTCGTCCTGTGCCGCACAGACGGCGTGCCATCCACTGACGAACGTGGACGCCGCAATCACCCGGCCTATCTCCAGCCAAGGGCTCCCAAAGGATCAGCCTGTCAATACAGTCGGACCTAGGCCAAAACAACATCCTTCAAGAACATGAGACCTCCGCCGGCCAACACACGCACACACAGAACATCCAAGGAAACCATCCCAAGGATGCACAAGAGCATCCGACTGACACGAAGACCACGAGGTTACCTTGCCTGAAACGACCTCGATCTTATACCTCGGTGCGACTGTACGCCTTTCCAAGCTCTCACCCGCTCAGGTCATTCCGAAGGTGCGCAAGAGCTCACCTCGCCGCAGACCTCCCCGACTGCCCGCGTACCAGGAGCGCCGCTGCTCACCGCGCCCTCGGCGCGAAGCGTCCGCCAACCTTGTCGCGGAAAACCGGGGAAGGCGCGCGTGCGCCCAAAACCGGTTACCGCTCTTTCCGCGAGCCCGCCGGGGGGGAGCCCCAGGCGCGAGCGCAAAAACTCGATACTGCGGCGCGTCCTCGCCACCGACTGAGCGCATCTGCGGAAAGCGCCGGATCGCCGTTTGTGCTGCCAGGGGATGGGCCATCTGCAGAGCGGCCCTCCACTGCACCCCAGGGAAGCCCGCCGGCTCGGTGGCGGCGGCTTGGCGGCTCTGGCGACGAGTGAGGAGGCAGAGAGGTTTTGTTCAGCCTTTCGTATCCGGATGGACAAATCCAGCGAGGGCAGAATCGCCTGCACGGGCAACTCCAGCGCCGTGCGAGTCCGGAGAAGGGGACAGGAGCAAACTGCGCCGAACACGCTGAAACGCTGGGTAAGTCGAAGTGTATTGGCACTTGGAGGGATGTCCTCCTCACCTCTCCCTCTCATGCCTCTGCTCCCCCTGGTGCCGCTGTTCCTGTTCCTTCTGCTCCTAACAGCTGGCAGGGGTGTGCAAAGCTCCTCCAGCTCCAGCGCCGCGAGGTCGACGAAGCGACGCGCCAACGCCTTCGCAGGGCAAGCCCCAGGGGGCCCGCCGGCAGGCCGCGGCGAAGCCAGCCCGTCGCGGGAGATCTACTCTGGCGAGTTTTCCCGAACAGTGCATGCCCTTGACGCTCATTGCTTGCACCGCAGGGGGCCCATACTGTGGGTCGTACTCGAGCCTATCCTGTGGGTCGCACTTAAAACGGAGTAGTATATGTGGTGCACTAATATACTCTATCGTGCAGGCTACGGGATTATACTTTCTCGATGAACTCTGTGTGGTGCACTTCGGGCGGCGCAGAATACGTGGTGACAATTCTGAAGTTGCTTTAATTATGCGGCTTGTATATGTGGCGGAAGCTATGGGGTGAATTTGCTGACATCTCGGGTGCAAGCTTGATGGGGAAATGCATCTGGCTCAACGAGCCGAACAAATTTATGTGGTCCATTCGACTGCTCGCGCAAACGCCCCTGCATCCCACCAACGACATATTATGCTAATGACATGCGGCCGCGATTGCAGCAACTGCTTGGCAATGGCTGGCGCCTGCCGTCGCACTGGCGCGCGCTCCTTCGCGCGCAGAGCGGCCAGCTGGTTTGGCCCAACTCAAGCGGCCGCGATGACACTTTCCCATGGACACCTCCCAGTCCGTCTATAAGGCCGCCCTGGCGCGCGGGCACTTCTGTCGGTAGCTCGGGCGGGTACGATATCATGACGTCGTCAATAACGGCTGGCAGCGATGATGAAAATAACGATGGAGGAGGCGATGATAACGATGACGACGGTAAGGCCAATGACGGCGATGATGGTGACGACGATGATGATGTCCACGTGTCGCTGATGAAGGTGATTGCCTGTTGCTGGCGGCAATGGTGGCGATCGACGATGACGATAACTGCGGTGATGCGATCGATCGCACTGATGAGGGTGATCATAAAGAAATGCGCGCGCAGTCTAAGACACCTTGCAAGCTTCCTGTTGGAAAACATGCTTCGAGAAAAAAGGAAGGCTGGCTGCGGAGGAAATTCGACACGCGCGCGCGGCGGGGCGCGCGTGGCCCGCGTTGTACATTATGACACGCAGCCCCCCGCAGTCGCGGATAAGAGTGAGGGGGCGGCGGGGACGCCTAAAGTCTGCGAGGCTCTGAAGAAGCCCGCCGCCGGCGCCTAATTTCTACAGATTATCAGAGTGAGGGCGCCGAACGGTCATTCGTTGTCCCTGGGTGCGTGGCTGACTTGGGGATCCGTGGTGAGGATTTTGTTTGTTGCGTTGCTGTTTGTTTGTTTGCTGTCGTCGTCTCACCCGCGACCCACCAACGACGCACCCCGCGACGCACCCCGCGACCCACCCCGCGACCCACCCCGCGACCCACCCCGCGACCCGGCCCGCGACCCTACCCGCGACCAACCCGCGACCCTGCCCGCGACCCTGCCCGCGACCCACCCGCAACCACCCCGCGACCCGCCCGCGACCCACCCCGCGACCCAGCCGCGACCCAGCCGCGACCCAGCCGCGACCCAGCCGCGACTGGCCCGCGATCCAGCCGCGACCGGCCCGCGGCCGGCCCGCGACCGGCCCGCGACCGGCCCGCGACCCAACAGCAACCCACCCGCGACCCAGCCGCGACAAATTCGCGACCTACCCGCGGCCCACCCGCGACCTACCTACATTGGTTTAGCGAAAAAAACGGCGCTTCCGGCGGGCTCGTTGTATAACTTGTGGATGTGAAACTTTGGCGCCTGCGGCGGGCTTCTCAACAAACAACAAACAAGCAACAAACCACAACAAACAGCAAACACCAACAAACAACCAACCACAACAACCACAACAACAAGCAACAAACATCATACAACAAACCACGAACAACAAACAGCACACAACAACAACCACAACAACAACCATAACAACAACAACAACAACAACAACAACAACAACACCAACAACAACAACAACAACAACAACAACAACAACAACAACACCAACAACAACAACAACAGCAACAACAACAGCAACAGCAACAGCAACAACAATAATTTCAAGACTGTTCGCCCGTATATGCTCGAGTGTCCAATAACGCGTATTTCCCAAACCCTCGATACCCGCCCCCTTCGTCTTCGATCGAACCCCTTCCCTGCAGGCCGGGCCCCGGCAAGCGGCGGGGCGGCCGCGGACCGTCGGCCTGGCAAGCAGCAGCGCTAATCGGCGGGGCGGCCGCGGACCGTCGACCCGACCCCAAGAGGGACGGACAGGGGACCGACCACGACGACGACGACGACGACGACGACGGAGACGACGGCGACGACGAGCGAAAGCGAAAGCGAGAGAGAACGACAGCAGAGCCACGAAGGACACGAAGTAGGCCACGAAGGGCAACAGCGGGGACACCAAGGGAATGCGTATGGGGCCACGAAGAGCGCGAACGAGCGTGGGCCACGAAGTGCAGATAATGCGGGGCCACAGAAGGCAACGATGGGGCCACTGAGGGTAGCAACTGGGCCACGTAGGACAATGAGGGGGCCACAAACGGCGACAGCGGGGCCACGAAGGGCATGCACATGGGGCCACAACGGGCGCGAACGAGCGGGGGCCACGAAGGGCATACGTATGTTGGGCCGCGGAGGGTACGGACGCGGCCACTGAAGGCAGCAACGGGGACACGAAGGGCAGCGAGGGGGCCACGAAGGGCGACAGCGGGGCCACGAAGGGCATGCGGGGCTACGAAGGGCATGCATATGGGGCCACCACGGGCGCGAACAAGCGGGGGCCACGAAGGGCATACATATATGGGGCCACGAAACAAAGCGAGGGGGCCACGAAGGGCTGCAACGGGGCCACGAAGGGCTGCAACGGGGCCACGAAGGGCAGCGAGGGGGACACGAGGGGCTGCAACGGGGCCACGAAACAAAGCGAGGGGGCCACGAAGGGCTGCAACGGGGCCACGAAGGGCAACGAGGAGGCCACGAGGGGCTGCAACGGGGCCACGAAACAAAGCGAGGGGGCCACGAAGGGCTGCAACGGGGAGAGAGAGAGAGAGAGAGAGAGAAAACGAAAGAAAGAGGGAGGCGGCAGGAGAGGGGAGGGAACAGGGAGGAGAGAGAGGAGGGAGAGGGGATAGGGCAGATAGGCATAAGGATGAGGGAAGAGAGGAGGGAAAGAGAAGGGAGGAGAGGGGGGAGTAGGGAGGAGGGAGAGGGAGGAGGAGCAGGAAGGTAAGAGCGTGAACGTTCGAACAACTCCTAAGCGAAAGCGCCGTTCCTGAAGAAAGTCTCGGGCGGGAGCCCACGACGAGCGGGCGATCCCCTAACGGGCGGGTCAGGCGGGTGGGACATTCAGGCGGGATGCCTGAGTATGGCGAGAGCGCGATTACTAAGTAAATTGTGACGGCGTCCTTGACGCAGCGTGTTTCCTGAGCGTCGACAGCGCGATTTCTGAATACATTGCATGGTAGTCACAGGGAATTCCTGGATAAAATGTTAAGGGTTCTCTGGAGGGAGCGGGGGTCTTGATTAAATTGCGAGGGAGTTTTGATTCAATTGCGAAGAAGTCTCAAGCGGGAGCGCCGTTCCTGAGTAAATTGTGAGGAAGTCTCAGACGGGAGCGGGGGTCCTGACAAAATTGCGAGGAAATCGCAGGCAGGAGCACCGATCCTGAGAAAATTGTGAGGAAGTCTCAGGAGCGGGGGTCCTGAGTAAATTTGGAAGAAGTCTCAAGCGGGAGCCGTTGTATTTGTAATCCGAGGGGCCAGGGGCCCAGCTTGAGCACCAAGACTTTCCTTGTCAAAAACAAGGTGCGAGCGTCGGGGTGCATACTTAGACTGAAAAAAGCAGCATGCACCGGTGAGGGGGATCAACAATATTTATTCTTTCATATATGAAAATTCAACACCAACAAGGCGGAGGCTGATACTTGGTACCCATCCCACGGAAGCCCTGCTTCAAACTCCGCCCATTTGGTGGAGGCGTACACTGGGTTCCCGTGCACCACCCACCCACCCCACCCACACACACACACACACACACCCACCACCACACACACACACGCACACACACACACACTCTCACACACACACACACACCAAGCCAAGGAGCCATTGGAACTGTACTCTATGACCGCTGAAAATCCCTGGACGCCAAGAACGTGTGCTTTCCAGCGAGGAGTTCTTGACAGGGATGGTATAGGGATCATAATAGGACCTCCCCACTACGACTCATAGTGAGCGCCCCCTACGACTCATAGTAGGAGCTCCCTACTGCGACTCATAGCAGGAGCTCCCTACTACGAATCGAAGTGGAAGCTCCTACCATGACTCATAGTGGGAGCTCCCTGCTACGACTCAAAGTGGGAAGTAGAAGCTCCCTACTACGACTCATAGTAGGAGAATCCCTACTACGACTCAGGAGTACGAGTTCTCAACTGTCACTCATAGTGGGAGCTCCCTGCTACGACTCATAGTGGGAACTCCCTACTACGACTCAGAACAAGAGCTCCCTACTACGACTCCTAGTGGAAACTCCATACTACGACTCATAGCAGGGACCGTGTAAGATGGCTCATCGTAGAGACTCCCAACTACGACTCCTACTAGGGACTCCTTGCTTTGACTCACAGTAGGGGTTCTGTACTGCGACTCATACTAGGGACTCCTGCGACTCATAGTAAGGACTCCGTACTATGACTGAACGTAGAGGCTCCCTACGATGAGCCATAGCAGGGACTCCGTACTATGACTCAGAATAGAGACTTCCTACTCTGACTCACAGTAAGGACTCCGTACTATGACTGGAAGTAAAGACTCCTTACTACGACTCACAGTAGGAGCTCCCTACTACGACACCTAAAAGAAACTCTCTACTACGACTCATGGTACGAGCTCCCTAGGTACCCCCTACGATGACGCATAATAAGACTTCCCTACTACGGCTCATAGTAGGAACCCCCTACTACGAATCATAATAGGAGCACCCTGCTACGACTCATAGCATGATCTCCCGACTGCGACTCAGTGGGGCCCACCCGCCACGAC